TGCGTGACAGACAACATCCCAGCCATCGTTTGTACAATACAACCATAGTATCCGTGGGGGATCAGTTCCAAGACCCCTGCGGATGCCAAAAAAATGCAGAAGTAGTGAGCGCTATACACCTGTTTACCAGAGGCCATTTCTGGTAGATACACCCTGGAAATAGGTTTAAATAGACATTCCTGGCTTTTTTTTTATTTAGCATTTTCGGGCAGTGGACAAGTAAATCCATGCATACTGATCCTGTGGATAGGAGGGTCCTACTGTAGTGAACAGTGGACAAGTAAATCCATGCATACTGATTCTGTGGATCGGAGGGGCCTACTGTAGTGAATTGCCCACCATTGCAGCCCAAACCACAACAGAGCACATTCTGGTTTGGGGAGAAAAGCTGGAGCTGTTGTTTAACTCACCCCTTGATGCATCCGATGCCACCTGAGCGTAGCTCTCCTGTGCGTTTGGAATACAGTAATAATAATAATACAGCAATAACAACAACTGTTGCATCCGATGCCACCTGAGCGTAGATCTCGTGTGCGTTTGGAATACAGAAATAACAACAATACAGCAATAACAACAACAACAAACAACAACAACAATAATAATAAATGTTTGTATTACGAATTAAAAAGGTTGCCAACAGGACCACAAGACCTGAATTTCTTTCCCTTGCAAATCTTTACCCTACTTTATGCTTTAATAATAAACTATCATGGCTTGGAAAGCAAAATTTGTATCAAAAAATAACGTGCTTCATAAGAAAGAGGGCAGACTTTATGATCTCTTGATGCCCTTCCTACTCTTTGATTCTGCAGCTCAATGAAGTGGGACTCCTTTTATTCACAGTCTGAGGGCCACTTTGGCAGAGTGTAGGTGGAATGCTCAAACATTTTTGGGGAGAGCTGAGTTCAAGTCCTCCACCAAGCTCCGAAATGCTCTGGGTAACTCCGGGCCTCACCCTGAGCAACTTTACAGGGCTGTTGCAAGGAGAAAGCAGAGAAGGTGAAATGACCCAAGGATAGTGTTTTTTGTCTCATGAGAAGAATGCAGTGTAACTGACTAATAACTGAATAAACCAGTTGGACCTCAATTAAGTCTTTAAGATGCAAATGTGAATTTTAAAATGTTAGCTTGAAATGTTGATGTTGTAACTTTAAGCACTACCAGTGTTTTCCCACACTGTCATTTGTTATCAATCTTACCATTGTATTTATTGGTTGATTGATTGAAAGGATGTTTCCCCACTTAAGGTAGGCCCATTGAATCAATGGCATTTACAAAGGAGCCCACTCATTAAATCCCCACTGATTCAATGAGCTTAGTCTAGTGGCAATATGCTAGGCTAAGCAGCAGGATTTTAGTCAACGGGATATCCCACACTGTCATTTGTTATCAATCTTACCATTGTATTTATTGGTTGATTGATTGAAAGGATGTTTCCCCACTTAAGGTAGGCCCATTGAATCAATGGCATTTACAAAGGAGACGACTCATTAAATCCCCACTGATTCAATGAGCTTAGTCTAGTGGCAATATGCTAGGCTAAGCAGCAGGATTTTAGTCAATGGGATATTAGATAAAGGTTCCCCTTGACACTGAGTCCTGTCATGTCCGACTCTAGGGCGCGGTGCTCATCCCCGTCTCCAAGCCGTAACGCCGGCGTTTGTCCGAAGACTCAAGCCGTAGAGCCGGTGTTTGTCCGAAGACTGTTTCCATGGCCACGTGGCCAGCACTACTAGACACAGAACGCCATGACTTTCCCACTGTGGTGGTACCTATTGATCTACTCAGATTTTGACATGCTTTCGAACGGCTCGGTTGGCAGGAGCTGGGACAAGCGATGGGAGCTCACTCCGTCGCGTGGATTCGATCTTACGACGGCTGGTCTTCTGACCCTGCAGCACAGAGGCTTCTGCGGTTTAACCCGCAGCACCACCACGTCCCTTCAACGGGATATTAGACTTCACCTAATTCAGTCGTCCTGTCTCCCAGCCTTGGCTTTGCATTTTTAGTTCCATTCTTTTAAAAAAACAGTGTACTTTGGCAAATGTCATGGTTCTCCCAAACATGATAGTTTCTCCCTTTTATCTCTCCATAGCCTCAGTTACCATAGGCACTCAACATCCCACGTTACTGTTAAGAGGGAAGGAGGGTGATGGTGATCAGCCCCCTATAGCTGTCCATTCTTCCGTAAAACCCTTGGGTTTGCCTTTTCTAATGGATCCACCTAAACAGAACCAAGCAGGAGGAGCGGTTCCCACCCCAATGATCCATTCAGAGGAAGCATAAATGCATCTCTCTTTTTTTTCATAGCCCGTCTGTCGGGGACCGATCCCGCCCCACTCACTCACCTTTTTCAAGAAACACGCCGCCCGGTTTCGGTACAACACAGCCTGGAGGGGTTTGTCTTTGGTGAGTTTCAGAGCTTTGGAGTAAGTTTGAATGGCGTTGTCATAGTCCTTGGCTTGGAAATATTTATTCCCTTCCTCTTTCAACTGGACCGGGTCATCCATCTCAGGAAAGAAATCAAGGTCTCCCCTGGAGGAAGAACAGCAGGTCCTTTGAGGGACAATCACATCAACAGAATTTCTAACCTTCATGTTTTATGGATGGAGGCCATTCCAAGCGAGAATGCTTCCACCCTTTGGGTTTTCATGACCTGTAAATTCGGTGAATTACGCCGTTTGCTTTCATCCAAAGCAAAAAAACCCTCAGAGGAGGCTTCTAAGCGGGAAGTGTCTCAGGAAGGCTTTAATGATTTTTAAATACTTTAAAATTGTTTTTAATCTCAGTCCTTATTCTCCATATACAGTAGGCCTGCCTTTCTGTGGGATCAGCATCTGCCAATTCACATATCCACAGTCTGAAAATATTAAAAATTTTAAAGGGAAAATCCTTCCAAAATATATTTCCAATGATGAAGTTACAAGAACTGGCTACTAGAGCAAGCCGGAGACCATGCTTTGCTTAGCATTGGCTATTAAAATAATGCTCACTATCATCTACATTTTTTCAGCATCCTCAGGGGGACTTTGAACTGATCCCCTGCAGATACGGGGGTCCCACTATGTTAAATTTTTAAAAATATGATATTTACATAGTATGTTTAAAATTGATGCTTATTTTAGTTGTTTTTTAAATATATTTTTATTAGTTTTCGGTAATATAACAACAAAAAAGCAAAACATCACTAACGCATCCACCTACAAATAACAATACAGTAATAAGAAAAAGAAAACACAATGATCACGTACAGTATATCTATAATTTTAGTTGTTGGGAGCAGCCTCGGGTTGCTTGTGACGAGAAAGGCGGGCATACAAACGAAAGAAGAAACAAATAAATCGTTTGTTCACCGATCAGTTGAAAGAAAGATCGTGGTGGGATTTCCTTTCCTTGCGTGCTAAAAGAGAAGGAGCATGATGTTGGTACTGTCTGTGTTTTAAACGGAGAAGGGGCTGTTGGCTGTTCTGCCTCAGGCAGCAATATGTGTTGGGCAACCCCACTTCTAAACTAGTAGCCCGCGGCCTCCATGTACCCAGGGGCGATCCGCCACCCTCTCCACCTCAATGAAATGGGGTAGGGTTTCCGTCTGAGTCTGCGTTTTTGATTCTCACCTCCCAAAGTGTATAGCTATTGTTTGCCACATCAGTTTTTTGACTGAGACAGGCTAGACTTTGGAAACATTCCATTTCGGGACTACCACTCCCATGTGCCTGGGACATCAGAGTCCAAAGAGGTAATTTAAAAAAGAAACCAACCAATCCTGTTACAGAATGACATGCCTTTACCTCCAGTATCCCTATTTGGGGAATTTTACAATGCCTCTGGCATATGTCACCATCACCTGTCATTTCTGATGAGAAAGAGGGGGGGGGAACTCATACATGGGTAACTCTGAAACAAAACTTTATATTTATTTTCATTTTCCCACTAGCTCTTAGATCCTGATTCGCAGGGCCCCCAGCTTGCCGTACCTTTTGTGGTCTTCAAGCTCTTGAGATGTTCACCAGCTTGGTGCTTTCTTCCTTTCGATGGGCTGATCTCTCTCCAATCTCTCTCTCCGGACAAACCAACTCTTACGCCTGGCTCGGCTTTAGATACCAAGATATATATAGCTCAATGAAATGCTCACGAGCCATGGACCGGAGCACTAGTGACAAGATGTCAGGGGGGTGGGCGGAGGTCGGACTTCTGAAAGGGGTCCGTGGTTTTAGATTGGGCATGAAGACCAAGTATTTAAAAAAAAATCCACTGAACCCCACATTCGGAATTTGCAAGAATCCTTGGGCAAAGTTGAATGATAACCATTTTTTTTAAATTACAAAAATAAAAAAAAAAATCAAAGAGCCTTGACCCACTCTGGGGAATAGCCAAGACCCTTCCCTTTTCTATTTAAGGAAGTGTCAGGCATTTGAAACTCGGGAACAAGTGGTTTTATTCCAGAGACCTACAACTGGCACCAGCTGCCACAGACGGGCCACCTCCAGTAACTTCCAGAAGCTGCGATACCATTCAAGAATCACTTTCCTTCTTTGTTTACTTTATGGATCATAATCGCAGGGTGTTCGTTATCCCCCTCGGACCCCAGAGCAATACGTCAAATTAAGACGAAAGCATGCCAAGGTTTAGAAAAACCAGCTCAAGTGATAGAAAAAGAAAGCGACCAAAAAATAAAAATAAAAATCAGGAGGCAGATAAAACCATCGCATGGAGGGGGGGGGAAAGTAAGTTGACATTAAAATGTCTTGGCAGGTTAAAAACCTTTATATCTATATAAGAAGGTTATTTACAGAAGTACGCTGCCAACGATGATGATGATTAAACCATGGAAAAGGTTGCTATACTTACTGCCATCTAACAGGTTTCTCCTAGAGGAGACTTAGCGAAAGAGCTTTCTAAAATTATATTCTTTTTATTTTATTTTTCCATCCGTTCTTTAAATTTTGCACCTGAGTGGGGTGACATAAAGCACAGAAATAGATGGGGGTGGGTGAGGAGACACCTTCCCCTCCAAAGAGAAGCAAACAATCTCAATTTGGAGAGAAACGGGCCAGGTTTTTCAAAATGTCAGAGGAGATCCAACGAATTGGATATTCTATTTGCTGCTCCCCGATAAGATTTCTTACATTCCTAGTGAAGTGGCCAAATCCTGCACTGCCACTAGAAGCGTGCCACCGTCTCCTGACCCCGTGAGGTCTTCTGAGTCCCCCTGCCCAGGTTAGAGAGGTCTTGTTTAACTTTACTTTCTAGGAGAGCCAGGGGGGGGATTGAGGGTTATACGTGTCTCCTAAATTCATCTCATAGCGTGATGTTTTCAAAAACTATTATATCCTTCCACGCCACTGGCTGACTTAGAACTTATTTTTTAACTTTAAAGTCGTAAAAGTGCCAGAGGGTGCACTTGACCCCAAGGTCTCTGATATTACGTGATTTTATCTAAGATACATTTTTATCTTCCTGGTCATTGATCATAATAAATTATTATGTTTTTCTCTTTCTGCAGGGTATGGGTTTCAAGTAACCCCACCTCCAAGGGATGCTGGAGGACACCAAAGGCTATATCGATAGCCTGATCTCTGGGCCCCTCTCGTGGCCAGTTCTGGTAACGTCATCGTTAAAAATATATTTTGAGTGGATTTTTAAAAATAATACTTTTAATATTTTCAGACTGTGGATAAGTGAATCAGTGGATATTTGATCCCGTGGATAAGGGGCTCCTACTGTACCGTAATAGCAGATAAAGTCCCAAAATCGCCCTGGGCACAAATCTCCATAAAAGATGACTAAATACAGGTACCCATTTACTGTTGCTCTTTATAGGCCACGTGTTCAAATTGTGGGGACAGCGATAAGATCCACAGTCCGATTAACGAATGCTTTATATTAGTGTTCCTGCAAATCTTGAGGGACTCTGACTCCCATCAGCCCGAGCCAGCATGATGGGAACTGGAATAAGACAACATCCGGAAGGCCTATTTCTAGTTTTAAAAATTAGTAACTTGGAGAGGTGTGATCCGGCCCATTGTGTCATATGCCTTCATTGCATCCCGGCTGGATTACTGCAAGGTGGGGCTGCCTTTTGAAAGTGTTCAGAAACTTTAGTGGGTCCGAAATTCTGCAGCCAGATTGTTAACTGGTGTGGGTCACAGGGATCACAGAGAAACCCCTCCTTGTTACAGGAGCTCCCACTGGCTGCCGATCCATTTCCGGGCACAATTCAAAGTGCTGGTTCAAAGCTATAAAGCCCTAAATCGTTTGTGGCCATCATCCGGCTTGTGGCCTTTCTCTGGGTCCCGCCACAGGTATGTTTGGTGGGCACCTGGGAGAGAAGCCTTCTCTGCGGCTGCTCCCAGAGACTCTGGAACTCCCTGCCACTGGAGGCCAGGCCGGCCTCCCCTCTTGGCTCTCCTTCTGCAAGCAGATAAAAGCCCTTGCTCTCCAGGCAAGCCTTCCCTCCATGACCGGCTCCCTGAGAAGGGTTTTCAAATGGATGGTTTGTTGCCTTGTTGCTTGGGATGCGTTTTTGGGTGATGATTTTCTTTACCTTTTTTTTTTTTTAGCGTGGCTTCTTTTATTTTTTAAAAATATTTTTGTGCTCGCTTTT